GCATCTTCTTCCTCCATGTAGACGGCCGTGTGTGCGGCACGTGGCGTCATGCCCTCGGCATCGGTGGCCAGCCAACGCCAGCTGCTGCCTGGTGGATTATCGCTCAGATCGCATAAGCGTCCGCTGTAGCCGTTGGAGCAATGACATATGCTCTTCTGACACTTGCCGCGACCCTGATGCTCGCCGCATTTCTGCGGGCACGCCTCATCCTCACAGTCGGGCCCCACCCATTCGCCATGGCACACGCACTGATGGCCCACGCACTTGCCATGATTGTGGCAATTGTTCAGGCAGTTTGATATGTAGTAGGAAGCACGAAAACCATCGAGCACATAGTTCGTATCACTGTACATGAGTATGAGCATCTGTTAGGGAAATAATCGAAAATTAATATTGAACAACAAGGCTGGGAATTCCATGCTACTTACACTACCGCTGCGTGCAACCAGTTTCTGGGGCTGGGTGCGTCCGCTGAAGCTACCCAACAGCGTCGAGTTAAAGGAATCGCCATCGTATACATAGATATAGTCATAGGAGCACTCGGTGCCCATACTATGGAATGTTAGTGTTATAAATTGACTGTCATTTTTCGCTTTTATCAGCCATTCACAGTGCGAATCCTGGGTGTAATTGTAGCCGGAGGGGCCGTCGCTTATTTCACCGAAGGGCTCGGTGAACACCTTGCGACTGCGATCGCATGGTGCTGTTATGTGCAGCTGTTCCGATTGTAATGGCAATTGAAAGCAGATTAACCAGAATGTCAAGGTTGGCAGCAGTGCGTACATTCTTTGCATTTTAATTACACTTTCGCATTCGCAGCCCAATCTCATTTTTATGCTAATTGTGTTAACACAATGTCGGGCACATCCGTTTGTATTATGTTTATCCGGTTGCAATTGTGGTGCTGCATGTTTTCCACTCTGCTTGCATTGCACACAACACTGGCACAAGGCCGTTGTCCACCAGGAAACTCGTCTACCGCTGAAAAAGTTATTATTTTCTCAGCTATTTTTTGATGTGCAGAACTGCTTCTTTTTTTTTTTGTTTAATTTTACCAATTAGTGATGGGCAAAATTTATCACCACTTTTCCACACAAAGTGAATGTCAAAAATCGTGGTGAATGTCAAAGTGTGGCAACACTGATTTTTGCCATCTACAGCGACACGTAACTATTGCACATCTCTAATTCTGTCTTTTTGGGTTTTCTTTCCTATTCAAGATGGTAGGTGTTCAGAGTGGCTTTAACGAAAATCAACAAGCATCCGCGTTTACAGCATTCAAAATGTAAAACAAATAATTAAATATTGCCCAGCACAATGTTTTCTGTGATTTGGTGGCAATATTAAACGAATGTGCGTACCTTAAATGCGTTCTGCTTGCATTTTAAACTTGTGTGTTTGCGTCCCCCAGTCTGAGATGGCGGCAAATTGTGCTAAATATTGTAATAAGCCAATAATAATCAATACGTCTCTTGTGGTATTATAGGTGAATGTACCGAAACAACGTCGCACCTTCTGCAAAAAGTGCAAGGTGCACAAGCTGCACAAGGTAACGCAGTACAAGAAGTCCAAGGAGCGCAAGGGTGCTCAGGGCCGAAGACGTTACGACAGAAAACAGCAGGGTTTCGGTGGTCAGACCAAGCCCATCTTCAGGAAGAAGGTAAGCTCGCAAAGATGGTTTAAACCTTCTTGTTTTTTTTGTTTTTGTGGCACTTCCAGTAGACCTGAATCGCTGCGCTTACACCATTAAGCATTAAGCTTTTCGTTGGGACATGAGTGCAAAAGTAATTTGTTGCTGCTGCATAAAATGGGCGGCTATGTGGCCTTTCTCTGGGCGCATAAGGCTACCGGCACCAACCTACAATATTTAAGATAAACATTTTGGCACTTAAAGTAGAACTGAATCGCTGCTCTCCTAAAGCTTTTCGTTGGAACATAAGTGCAAAAGTAAATATTTGATGCTGCATTTCCGCGATCTTAGGGGCAGCTATGTGTCCCCTTTTTTAGGGCGCATAATGCCCGGCACCATCAGACAAATATTAAATACGTTTTGTAGAGATATTAAAATCACACTAACTTGTACTAAATGTTGCCCGTTTGTTTTCTCGTTGCCAGGCTAAGACCACCAAGAAAATTGTGCTGCGTATGGAGTGCACTGAATGCAAATACCGCAAACAGACGCCCCTGAAGCGTTGCAAGCACTTCGAGCTGGGCGGTGACAAGAAGCGCAAGGGACAGATGATTCAGTTCTAAGCGTTCAGCTTGTTCGTCATGGATTAAACCAATAATCGCCCGCTACCTTTTGATAATGAAGTGTTTTTAAGTTGTTTGATCGACTGCTTTTGCTTTGCAACAAGTGGGAAAATAAAACAAATTGTAGAAGTAAATTGAAGCCATTGTTTTCATTCAAAAGCGTAGCATTCCCTCCGTCTGCTATATCACAATATGGGCTGTCTAAAGGTGCGCTGGTTATTCCAGCACGCCATCCTCCAGCATAAAGTCGGGTTTGCTGTAAATTCATGGTTAGTTATTTTGTAGACGGCCGTCTTGTTATGCTACTTACTCCAGCATTTGTGGGTCCAGACCCTCGGTTTGCATTTTGATTTTAACTGCAGGCGCTGGCACGCCCACGTGCAGCATTTTAAAGAATTTCTTATAATGGATATCTTCGCAGACCTTTACGCCTTTTACTTCGGCTTCAGTGGGCTCTTCCTGCGCTGGCTTATCGATTTCGTCAGAGATTGTCGCCTCAGTGTTTACTTGAGGCGTGCTGGCATTATCTGATTCATTATCTACCGGTATTGAAGCTAGTTTTGCCTCTAGAATTATTAAAGCGGCTTCAGTTCTTTGCAGCTGTCGTTCCATTCGCACAAATTTGGTCTCGCAATTCAAGGCGAATTCGTTGAGAAATGTGCAGGTGCTAATTAAAAAGTGATTAACAAAGGCAAGTATGCGCTTTTGGTTTAACGGCGGTATCTGGGTCTTATCCACATCGCCCGTAAACGTTGCGCTTGTTTCCATTATTATTATTATTATTAGAATTTATGTCGATAACTAACTTATTGCATATTGATATGAGCTTTCGATAACACTGGCTAACATATCGAAAAGCCGCCACATTATTGTAGCAGTGCTGTAAGTGTTCAAACAGTAGTGTTGTTAAAAGCTACTTAATTGTAACGTATTTTTAATATTGTTTTTAAATATTTTATTTATTTCGTTTTTATTATATCTTAACATGAATTGTGTTGATTTCATTATGTTCTGTTGTTTAAGTATTATGTATGGTTTTTCACTTCGATTTATTATAAAAGTATTTATATATATAGTTTGTTTTTTTTTTTTGTGTTGATTTTCGTTAATATGCATGAGTTTTGTTATCAATTTCTATACGTATAAACTTATGTGCAGGGAATTGGGTTCATTCCTCTATATGCTCAAATCTACAATGAACGTTGTACGACTTAATGTTTAATTTGCTTTTTAATATTTGCACGCGCATTCAGCTGTCATTTATCGAATAACACTTTGAATTGTATTGCGCTTCAATACATATTATATTTTGTGGCATTTCATTGCGTAAAAATAATAAGAATTTACGTGTTTACAAACGGTTTTTTTTTTTTCATTTTTTGGTTTTTTTATCTTTTTGTAAGATGTTTCCATTTAGAACGTAACGCATGCGTGTTGCTGTTGTTGAAAAATATGGCAGTGGATTTGTAAACGGTACAAAAATAAAAACCATTTTGTGCGAGTTTTTCCGTTTGACCCTTCATCAATAAATAAATGAAAATGCTGCCAGCAGCGAAATTTTTCTTCAAATGAAAAGGCAACAAAGGTTTCTTTTTTTAATTTAAATTGGATTGCTTTTTCTTTAGTTTTGTGTTTGGTTCTGATTCCATACGGATGAACTGCATCGTTGTAAACGAGAACCCGCTGGTCCACAACGTTTTAGAAAATTGTGTGTGTGTGATTTTTTGTTTTTAACATATTTATTATATTGTGTTGAGAAATGAATTGGAGTCTCTTGGTGTTAAAAATGTCAAGGCCAAATGTGACGATACGGCTTCATTTTGTAAACTTTATTTAAAATAAAAATACATGGTAATAAAAAAATCAAAAATGTACAGTTAAAATTAAAAATCAATCGATTTAATGTATTAATGTTCTTTATGTATATGCGCATCACTCTGCTAACTGTGTCTCTGTGTGTGTTCGTATAATTACCGTCATATTAGTAGTAGTATATCATAATCGCCATTTTCATATAGATCTACATGTGTGTGTGTGTGTGTGTGTGGGTGTATATTTATATATGATATCGCATTTTTCACTTGTAACAACTAAAGTACAAATTAAAATACACATAATTTATGTATACATATATAGTAGAGGATTTTCATTTTGTATATATATATTTATATGAATCATCGCTTGATGTTTTTGTTTGTTTTTTTTTTGGGTTTTATTTGAAATTTGTATCGAATATCAACTTGGGTTTAATTGTTATTTTAGCCGCGTTCCGTTACGTTTTTTTTTTGTTTTGTTTTTTGTGTGTTGACGAAACGTTTTTAATAATAATTGTTAATACTAGCACTAATATTGAGTTGCTCGGCATTCATGTCCACATTTTAACGTTTATTTGATTACAATTTACGAATCGTTAGGCGACTCTAAACATACATATATATATATATACGATAATATATATATATATATTCAACTACAAGTGTACGAAATCCATTGGATCAGCGATTGGCGCCGTTTTCTTTACTTCTCACTTTGTTTTAACTTTTTTTCTTTTAATTTTTAATACTAGGCATAAATTAAATAAATAGCTTAGCATACAGTTATAGCTCAACGGCATTTATTATTTATATAATCTGGATCTTTCTGTATATGTGGATCTCTGGCCCAAGCATTGCGTACTCTTTGCATTTTGTTTTTTTATATTTTTTTTTGTATGAAAAATTATAGAAATAGAAGCATTTACTTTTCACTTAGTGTTTAATAAAGTTTTCTGGCGATTTTTATGTTTACTTTCAACTACACTCGCTTTCTACTCTCAATAAATAAACATTATCATCAATCAGCATTATCGTCGTCGTTTACTAATCTTAATTTACAACTTGCACGCTCTTTGTGTTGATGGGGAAGGGGGAGGGGGTACGAGTTTTGCATATATACATATATATATTATCAATATCTATATATATATGGATATATGCGACTTATGGACTACAAATTTGATCGTCTATATATCATTACGTAAACGTTTTGTTGGATGAGTAAATTTGAATTGGCAAAACTTGCACAGCGAGTGGCCAATAAAAAAGGTACGTACATCATGCATCATTCGTCAATCGTCAATCATCAATTACATCATCGATTACATCAATCAAGTTTCTCTATATAAATTGTACAGTAAAACATCCACTGGAGCAACTATTGACACAATCGCTGCGCTGTTTAGGCAAAAGAATTAAAAACTAAATTGTCATCGATATTGGCAATTGTCTACATTCAAAACGAAAGAAACTATATAAAATTGTTGAGCTTGCGGCTAAAAATGATATGCTACAAAATCAAGAACTTTACATTTGTTGTTAACAATTTGTGTGTGTGTGTGTTTGTGATTAATATGCGGCATGGTTTTGTATTCGTATTCGTTTGATCTTTTAGATTACAAATGTGCTCGCTCTTACGCTCGGAAATGCCATAATAATAATGTAAATTTTATTATATATATTTTTTAGGTTGATTTTGCCCATTTTTTTTTTGTTGTTGTTGTTGTTTTGTTTTGCTTTATGTATGTATACAGCAATGTGTTGTGTTGCATAATTTGCGTTTGTTGTTCATCTCTTGTATATAATTGTATAATTAGATTTAAATGTATAGTATAATGTATATATATAAGTGTATTTATATGTATAATTATTTAACTCGAACTCGTAATCGCTTAGCTGAGAGCTGCTGCAGCATTGGCTGTGTGTGTGTGTGTGTGGGTGTGTGTGAGTGTATGGAGAAGGGGAGAATCGGGGGATTGTGGGATCGGGTTAGTCCTAATCTTAAACAAAGACCTTGGCCAATCCATCGGCACCGGCACTGGCTATATAGGGCTTGGTTGCATGGAACGCCACATCGAATATGCTCTCATCGAACTTCTTGCGGTGTGCAGTTATCTCCTGCACGCACGTCTTATTGTCCAGATTCCAAAGGCGTATGGAGCAGTCGTGCGAACCGGACAGCAAATACAGTCCATGCGCATCGACCGCTAACGATGTGACTGGCTCCAAATGCGCGACCATCGAATGCACCAGAGTTCCGGATGTGTTATCCCAGAAGCGTATATGGCGATCCTCGTGCGCCGTTATGGTGATGGGCAGTGTCGGATGTGAGACGACCTTATTGATGAACTTCCCCGTATTGCCGGACATCTCTTGCGATGCCTCCAGTTTGATCACCTGCTTGCCCGTCTCCGTATCATAGATGATGCAGTGTGCACTATTATAGGCCACCACAATGTGATCTACCTCGTTGCGCACAAAGTCCACGGATGAGGGCCCGCCCTCGGCCTCCGCGGCCGTATAGGTGCGCAGCAGCGGCTCCTTGGTGTACGGTGACCACAGCTTAACGGTGCCATCCGCCGAGCATGATACAATATTGTTCTGCATGGTGGTTAGACCCCAAACGGCGTCCGTGTGCCCCTCCAGTGTGCCGGAATGCACATTCGGATCGTAACAATCATATGGATCAATATTGGGTGATGGCAGCTGCCAGCATTCGATGTTGCCATCGAGGCCACCGGAATAGCATGTCTCGCCGCTGGAGGACATGCCCAGGCACAGCACGGGTCCGGTATGGGCGCGGAACGTGTACAGCGGTTCCACATCAAGACTAGCGGACTTTTTGGCTTGCACCGTTTTCTGTAGATTCCACAGCTTGAGCGTATTATCCTCGGAGGCGGTAATTAACACCGGCTCCTCCGGATGGAAAATAAGCGAGCGCACACCATCGAAATGGGAGCGCAGCGTGTACTTGGCATTCCAGGTCTTGCGATAGCCAGCTCCGCCAGCGCTGCCGCCGGTGCCGTCCTTGGCATTCGCATCGTAAGCCCCATCCGACTCATTGTTGACCGTCAGCTGCGCCAGCTCACCCAGTCCCAGTGAACCGTCCACCTCTGCGAAAAGAAAATGATAAAGGAAAATGTTACTGGACCATGGAAAACGAAACGGACTGCGATAAAAGCTGGCAAAGCAATCAACGGAAACAGCGACAGTATCGATAAATTACTTTTTCAAATAACTATCGATATGTTTATCGATCATCGATAATTGTAGTTTCTTATTAGACACTTAATAAATGGGCAATTCCTAAGTCTGTCACGTGATATTTGCAAATATATTAACAAATATGTGAGTAATCAAATCAATTAACACGTTACGTGACGGATTATTAAAGTTATTTTCGGCTTCTTGTATAATAAATTATTAGTTTATTGTAGTTTATTTTGAATAACAAATACGTTACGTGATTACTTAGGCGAGATATTTAGTTGGAATATAAATATTAATATTTAGGATTTGGAACATTTCTTCACGTCACGTAACGTGCACAGTTTAATCTTCTTTTTAACTCAGGAATTACCCATATAATTTTGTATTTATTTTTATTTTTTTAAATTTTATCGAAACATTTGCTTGCCATCGATAGCTTCTATAATTTATTAAGTTTCATGTTAAGCTGATGAGTAAAAAGCACCTTCGGTCATGAGATTCATATCGTTTAAGAGCTGCTCTCCCACCTCGGCCTCAAGATCTATGCAAAGATGATCGCGTCAACAAGTCGAGAGATAAGCGAAAGAAACAGAAAGCGGAAAGCATAAGACAAATACAGCGTTTCTTTTTGGTTTGAGGGAGGTTCTTTTTTTGGTGGGTTTTTGTTGGTTTTAATGGAAGCTCGTGCAAACGGGACGTTGCAAAGTAAAAAATGTAAATGCACACTACGTAAGGTGAGGCGACAGGCGGCGGGAGGGCTATTTAAGTTGGTGTACGGGAGTGGATGCAGCATGGATGAGCTACGAGAGAGTGGAGTGGAGCCTATTGAACATACCTTCGGTAAGCATATCCTTGCCGGATTTGGGCCGTTTGGCCATTTTGACATCGGTATCTTCATTGTCGGTAGCGACCATTTCCAGATCATCGGATATCTCATCATCGTCGGACATCTCTGTCGGTCCCAGAAACTCAAAGTTGGCCATGACCGCCGCCTCCGTGTCCAGTATGATGGCATCGTTCGATTGTTGCACTTTTTTAGCGGGAGTATGACGGCCTAATGTGAGCAAATTATTCAAATCTTCAACAGGGGGGGAAGAGGGTGTACAATGACCTACCTTCCGATTCTGAGGCACGTTTATTGCTCTCATTTCCATTGATATTGGGACTGAGATTCTCGCCGCCGCTGCCAATGCCGCCGCTGCCAACGCCACCGATGCCACCGCCGCCGCCGCCATCATGATCCGCATTATTGTTGAGGCCAAGTATGGAACGCACACGATTCGAGCGCACATCGATTATGTTGTCTGTGTAACCAATTTCGGCCAGATATTGGCGCAGCATTTGCCTGCCCTGTCGCCACGTGGTGTTCGATACGGAACTGTAGGGCACTTCCGAATCGGTCGCCACATCGCCACCGAGGCCACCATCATCATTTGACGAGGGCTTGAACTCGTTCAGTTGCGGCGGATCGGTTCCGTATTTTAATCGATAAAATTTCGCTCGCTCCTGACGCAGCGCATATTCCAGCATCTTGATGCGTCGCGTCAGATCGGATTTGAGGCTTTCCAAGCATTTACGTTCGCCAAGCAGCATCGCGATACGCGCCTAAAAACATGTATTAAAAAATAGCTTAGTTCAGATAACATTTTGTTTTAATCGATAACTATCGAAAACATGTATGTGTATTGTGTATCAAGAATTATCGACCACAACTATGAATACGATAACTATCGCTAACTTGCTCCTTTTTCGAAGCTAAACGCGAAATCCATCTTTTTTGGTGCCTATGCAACGGGACATAAACGTTATAAAGTACTCGATAATTTGAGATTTGAGGATAAATATCGAGAGCATTTCGATATCGATAGAATATCTTAAGTAGTTTATAAAGAACAATAGCTTTCAGCTCATCGGTGTACGAAGATACATAAGTATTGAACATGTGTTTTATCCATATGTTGCATTGGCAACTGGGTATAATTAATTTTCATTAATGTAACACTTAAAAGCTTTCATTGTACTCTCAGCGTATGTACGCATATATGATGTATGTATGTGTGTGTAAATGATAAATGTGTGCGTCTCGTTGCATTCCAATTGCGTTTGGCGCGACGCTGCGGCGGCCTCATAATTGACGGTCCGCTGCGCCACAGCGAACGAAAACAAAAAAAAAAAAAAACAATTAAATTCAATTAATTGTAATGTAAAATTACAGACTTGCTCCACTAATTGTTGCCCAAGTGAAAAAAGGATAGAAAATGAGAGCCAGAGCGAAATCAGTCACATTTACCGCTATCCGGCGTAACCATAGCAAAAGCCAAACACCCTCCATCCTACTTTCCGACATTGTAAGGTTATGTAGCATATTTCTGCGCAATACATTGCGTTAGTAACAGGGGGGAAAGCAAAATATTGTTGCAAAAACGCCCCCGCACTAACCAGTAACAGGAACGGGACAAAAAGAAAAAAAGGACAGGTGCGTAACGATGCCGCACACAAAAACCTTTGCTTGTTTCCTCTTCGGAAAACTCATTCAATGTTCTATCACAGAACTGGATAGGGTATACACATACACACACACACACACACACATGCAAGCACACACACGTACGCACAATTGGCCTGCGCGCCCCAACGCAACAACAATAACAATTTCCACATTTTAATAACAGAAACAGCAGCGCATGAGAGAAGCAAAGAGAGCAGCCGACTGGGAGGAAATCTTCACAGTGAGAGAGAGAGAGAAAGAGAGAGTACAGCGCGTAACTATGCCGCTATTTGACTTTATACACAATTTGTTTCATTATTCTTCAGTTGGTGTTGCGGCTGGGGCTCCTGGTGCTATTGTTATTGTTGTTGCTGTTAATGGAAACATGTTCTGCATTTGAATTAAAATTCAATGGCTTTTTATTCGGCACAGTTGCTAATTAAAGCACGCATTTACCAGTAATATGTTAGAATGCTGTTCGCGTGCCAGTACTGAAGTGGCTGCTGAATGAAAAAGGTGGCAACTGCAAAAAGCGACAAAGGGCACACTTCCACAGTATGGCCACGCTAGTCAGGCAACTGCAACAAGAGCTAGGAATCGCAATAGGTTTGTGTGTTTATGCCAAGCACATTTTAAACTACCCAGTGACATGCAACGGCGGCAGCAGAATATGTGGGCGGCAGGTGGCGCATATTTTTCTTTTTCTTTTTGCTTTCTTTACAAAAATATACAAACGGCAGCACAACAGTCATTTGTTGGTATAAAATATATGAATAATGAATTTGTTTTTGGCATTGAAAACTAACGCGGAAGGGTAGAGTTGGGCAATGTTGTGTTTGCTTTCGTGACACGAAAGCGTACGATGATTGAACATCGAACAAGATTTTACCGTAGTTCTACACGAAGCATGTTAGAGCTTATAATATATGCATCATAATTTTCGTGCAACCATCTCTAAGCAATGAGAAAAGAAATTAAAACGTAAAATAAAATATGTAGATAGGAAATGACAAATACAAACCGAGCCGACATTTTTATATTCTTCTCACATCGAAGCGACCAATCGTCAAATGCAAAACAAATGAGACTAATTAACAGCTGGCCTGACGGCTTTTGCCATCGATTCAAAAAGCACAGACAGAGGCAGCGGGGAGTTGAACAGATTGTACAATGAACCGGGCCCGGCACAAACACAAGGACGTTGCATATGCAGCACTGACACTGACACACAAACAGCCGCAAGTCAGAAATAGACGCACGCAGCGTGTGGAGCCCGGCGCACGACATATAACACACACACATGCGTACATAGGCATGGCATGTCCATATACTGAGTTTGTGTGTGTGTATGCAAAAGCGCTAAAATGGCTTCCAATGTAGTGGCTGCTGCTGCTGCTACTGCTGGGTATGGGGGCCGTCGTCTAGTCGCTACCCACTCTCTGCTCAATTTTCATATTCTTTTTCTCATTTTTTTTTTTTTTTTTGTTTTTGGCAAAACACAAACAAGGCGAACAGGTTCATAAATGTTTGCGACAAATTTGTACGGTGTGTAGGTAAAGTGCAGCGTCACCGTCGCCAACTTGTTTCGAGTGCAGTGACGTTTTGAATGTCACTTGTTTATCAGAGCGTAACGGAATGTACACTGAGTGCATCGATGCTGCGTAGTATCGATAACGATAGCACATTTATAGCTGCGATTGCACTATTTTTCTTTGGGTGAAAGCGGCGCATAGGGGCTTGGGGAGAAAGGAGTTGGGCAACAGCTTGACCCTTGCCGTGATACAAAAGCATCGATAAGGTGATCAGCACGCACACATTCAATTGAGGAATGTAAACAACAACGAAATTGCCCAGAAAATTTCCCTTCACATAGAATTGAGGAATATAAACAATAAAAATGCCCAGCAAATTTCCCTTCAATGTAGTTAAAGCTTTTGCTAAAGGGCTAGATGAATTGATCTTATAAATTACGAAACTTGGTAATTTTATGCTTGGTAAAATGAAAATTTCGTTTGTTGTTGTAGCTGAAGCAAACAGACCATAAAGTTACAAAACAAATTAGTTACAAGAAATTGTTATGCGCTGCCAGCAAAACTCATTTCCGTGGCACAAATGCAGAGAAAGAAACTCAATGAAATGGAAAGTGAGCTTTAAAGGAGAACGACTCACCTGCAGCTCGGCCCTGTCGACATCCCATTGTGAGCGCTCCAGTTCGAAGCGCGACCATTCGTGCTGTATGAAATGCAATATGCCCGGAATTGTGTATTGGGGCGTGGTGGCCTGCTGATTATTGGGTCCACCGCCGGGTCCGCCCATGCCATCGTCGCTGCCATTATTGCCACCGCCACCAGCACCGCCCATTCCGGTGACTATGCCGCCCACATTGGCATTCTGTCCGCCCAGGCCGCTGATACTGAGGCCACTGCCGCCGCCGCCGCCGCTGCCCAAACTGTTGGATAGCACACCGCCGCCAATAGCTGAATTGGCAACACCAACGCCCAGTACGGCTGCACCACCGACCGGCTTGTTATTGATGCCAGCGGTGGCTCCCGAATTGGTTCCCATTTGTGTTTGTTGTTGTTGTGGCTCGACGCTGGCTTTTCTGCTTGCTGTTTGTGTCGCTTGGCGTAGCCAGATGCTGTCGTCGCCGTTGTAACTGTTGTTGTTGTATCTCTGGCTCTGGTTCCGTTGTTGCCTGCAGTCACTGCAGTTAGTTGTTTGTTGATTTTTTTATTTATTTTTTGTTTTTATTTATTTGTATTTGTGTTTTTTGATCCTCTTTTTATTGCTTTTGGGTTGACAAAAATCTCACTCGATGGCGTTGGACACGTTAATTGGTCTGGTTCTTAAAGCTTGCCCTCGAGTGTTATTTTCTAGCTGGTTGCTTCTATTGGTCCTGTTTGAAAAAGACAGAACAGAATTGGCCAGACGTAAGACAAATGAGGTCATTGAATTTTCGCTGAGCAGCAAACAAGGAAAAGGATACGGGCTTAAATAACTGCCCGCCTGTCTCCCGGTTCGCTTTGGCTCTTTCTCTCTCTCTCTTGTTCGCACTTCACCGGAACCGTTAACGCCCCCGCTCCGCGCGCGCGTTCTCTTACTCTTTTTACGATACAACAACGTCACAAACACACACAACACAGCACACGCACACACATACAGGCGCACTCACCCAATCGCACTGATTTGAATGACAACGACAACGACGTTTACTACTATTTAGGCACACATACTGAAGCTACGTTTCCAGCACATACGACTTTTCACAAATTTATTAATTTTACTCACATTTACTTGAAAATTTTGTTGACTATTTACAAATTTTTCCAAGGAAACGTTGTTGCTACCGTTTTTTCGACTACGATTTTGGTTAGAGACGTTTACGCAAAAAAACACACACACACACACACACGCAATTTTTCTGCGACGCGAAGAAGCATCAAAGTGTAAATGCAGACAAACGACTTTTTTGTTTAACTACGCGGCATACGATCACATTAAATACTTTTCTCTGTTGGTAATTGCGCTATTTACAATTTGTTACTAATATAATTAATGCAAACGTCGTGCATTGCACACAAAAAGTCGATTCAGCCGTTTGTCGCACAGAATGTTTGGCCTGGAACTCTGAAACAACAGAGTTGCTGCTGCGCCTATATGCTTTACTCGCTCACACACATTTTGTTAGCCGCACGACTGTATGGTTATCCCAGTCTACGTATCTATATACAAAGAAAAACACACTAACACAAGCGCACCCCAAAGCCGTACTATTTTCACTTTGTTTAATTCAAAGAAATGTAATCTTTGTTTGCGTTTTACCAATAAAGCTAGCGCCAGTTACGCTTGGCTTATTTAGCACTTTAAATCACCGTTTGCTTATGTTTAAGAAATGTTTATTAAATTTTCACGCAGCTGCTTTCATTCCATTCACCTTTTTTTTTTAAAGTCCGGCAACTACCAATACTTATCGGACACGAATATAGTTGTCATCGGTTGCTATCGGTGCCAAACGACTAACAAATCGAATATATATTATTTTTAAGATTTAAATAGAAAACTCTTTCCAATTTAAATGATTAACCAATGCTGAAGCTGCATTTAACTTAAATACCTAGCATGTCAAATTCCCTTGACGTATGTGGGTGCTGTATTCCCCAAAAATAGCCCAATGATGACGAAGGGCATTCAATTCCAATTAACATTAATTTACATTTTAATGATAGCTTACATTACAGTTGACAGAACATATATCAATGTGTGGAGATTATTATTGTATGAATAAAGAGAATTGCTTGTCCGAGAATTTCCACTAGTTTCACATCCTTTACAAAAACTCCTCGCACCAATCGTTTAAGCAATTGTAGCAGTCGGAGGCCTGCTTTGAGCTAGCATGGCAGACATCCTTCATCCAATCCTTAAAAAGCTCTTCATCCTTTTTCAGGACCAAATACTGTCCGAGTACAGTGTACGCCTGGAACATAGTTAAAAGCAACAGCATTTACGAACGTAAACAATTGCGTTGTTTATTCGAGCACATGGCGTCATCATATTTACCTTATCGAAACCCGCCTCGGTCAAGCGTCCACCGAGCGTTTCGCCAATGCCAGCCAGCTCTGTTACCGACTTTTCGCCCATGGGTTCCGCCACAAAGTTTTTGTACTTTTGAGTTGTGCCCGACATCTTTTATTCGTTACAATTAATTAGATGCGTATGGTCTTAAATAATAAAACGAAATTGTTAATTTAGCAAGTTTCGCGGCGTTTCTAAAAAATGACGCACAAAAAAAATGCGACAGTATGCGGAAAGTACCAAAATACCACAACGCCAAATATCGATATCTGTCAAATGCAGCCCTGAGATCAGCAGTTATTGTTCGTTAAAATTTGAACTTCAACAGCAAATATTCATGCAAGTTCACATTTATATAATATTATTGACATTCAACTTATAATTGCAAAATTGCAATTGTTAAATAATTGAATTTAATTTTAAGCAATACAATTCTAGTTTTTAAACGACAGAGCGAGCAAATGCTAAACTGCTGTGAGCATCGATTTTATTTCGATAAAATGTGTGTGGAACTTGTTTTATTATTAAAAAGCATAGCATACTTTTATTTAAATAAGCTAATAACTGCATAAATTAATGGGCTTCGAAAACCTAACAAATAGCGAGAATAAAACTGAATTAATTGAATTGATTTCAAAATAGTTCGTAATACCAAAAGTAGTTTTTTCTTGGCCAACTGTACCTCAAATGTAATGCAACCGTTGCATGCACTCATGAATTTAAATTGAAGTCCGACCCAATTAACCCCCGTGGCGCCCGATAAGCCACCTTGCGGAGGCAATGAGTCGACTCTACTTGGGCTTAGCCAGTCTTGATTGACAACTGGCTCCGTCGCTGTTAAACTGGGCTATAAAATCCCGCCACTTAGCGCCAAAAGGTTTTAGTCGAAGTTTAACGGAAAAAATACGACAGCAAAAGAAAGGCTGGAGAAAATGTTAAAGCTGGCGCTGTGTTGGCTCTGTTTAACAGTTGCTTGGCCAGGTGAGTGTCTGTACCTGACCGACTTTCCAGAGCCTGATTAATTGAAGCGCTCGAGAGGCTGTTGACATCTGAGCAATTAATTAATGCGTCCGGCCCAGCCCAGACCCTGCTCCTCCAACCCGCCAACCCGCCCTAGCCCTGCCCTGCAGGAAAACTGGTTTAAAGGGCAGGGGGAAAGGATTACACATGTGTCAGACTGAGATCTGTTGAGCTCAGAATCCATAAAGATGATTCGTTTAGTCGCAACGCAGCCAGCAACTGATGAAGATGCGCTCCACAAATGCTCTGGCCTGCGTTTGCAATGTGATCAATCCGTGTCGCAATGAGGTGTCCACCACATTTGTGGTCATCCAATGGCTGGTCACAGGATTTGCTGCACTGGCTCAGGTCGTGCGGCCCGTGCTCTTGCTTTGTAATTGTGTTCCCATTAAATGCCCCAATATAATTAATGACGTTTTCTGCTTGATATTCCCGCACAGTTGGCATACGTGGCGAGGTGGCGCTCACCCAGGAGGACTACAACAGGACCTGGATCTATATGCCCAACGGCGAGGGCAAGCCCGAGGTGGCGTATCTCGTGGAGCCGCCACCAGAGGATCGCATCAGCCTGCCCCAAACGATACAGTTTGAGTTTTCCGGCAGGTGAGATGCGATAAATTAAATCGGCAAAGCAGATTAGGAGCAACTCTTTCCCAATCCTAGCGGCTCCCCCGACGATGTACGCAGCTCCAATTTCTGGATAGATGAGAACGATTTTCAGCCTGCGCGTCGCAAGCGCGACACGTGGCAGGAAATGGCCGAGAAGTTTGATCCGACACTGGACACCAAGATCCTGGTGCATGGCTGGAAATCGAGCACCATGTCGAACTCCATCCAGTCGATCCGTGGCGCCTATATCGAGCGCGGTCAGGTCAATGTGTTCGCGATCAATTGGCGGGATCAGGCCGATAATATCTATTATTTGACCCCGGCGCGGTATACTGTGCAGGTGGGTCGCGCCGTGGCCAAGCTGATCGATCTGCTGGTGGAGGAGAAGGATGCGGATCCGCAGCGCATTCATCTGATTGGGCACAGTCTGGGCGCGCACATAATGGGCTATGCCGGCTCCTATACCAAGTACCGGGTGAGCCGCATAACGGGCCTGGATCCGGCGCGACCCGCCTTCGAGGATTGCATTGGGCCGGAGAACCATTTGGACGAGACGGACGCCAATTTCGTGGATGTCATACACAGCTGTGCGGGCTATCTGGGCTTCCGTAAGCCCATCGGCATGGTGGACTTCTACCCGAATGGCGGCGGACCGCCGCAGCCCGGCTGCAAGGAGCTCTCGCAGATCTTCAGTAAGCACAGCGAAGATCCCCTTTTGTTGCTCGATCTATAATCTCTTCTTCCCATAGCCGGTTGCAGTCATGGCCGCTCGTACGAGTACTATGCGGAGTCCATAAACAGCGAGAAGGGCTTCTACGGCATGCCGTGCGGCTCGTTGGATGAGCTGCGGGGTCGCAACTGCAGCGGCGATAAGATTCTGATGGGCGATCCGGTGCCACGCGAGGCACGTGGCATTTACCTGGTCAGAACGGGCAGGAGGCCCAGCTACGCACTCGGCATGGATGATATGTTGCCCAAGGACTACGACGAGGACTCCAATTCAAATGCTTTTTAACTTATTTAATTAATAATTACCATTAATTGTAAACCTAAATGCAATACCTAAACTAAAAATACAAAAAAAGCACGACTTGCAGAGGGAAGGATTTCACTTGGGTTCAGGGAATGACATCCGTGCGCCGGCGTATTATATTGCTGCTCCTGTGACTCCCGTTGGGCTGCAGCACGTCGCCAGGTCGCGGCTCAATCTCGTAATGCTTGTAGCCATCCACATCGTCCAGCTCCTTGGCGGCGAACTTGGCAATCATTGTACCACGCCCGGCATAGGGTGGCACATATTTAAACGTCGCTGCGGCCGTGCCGCCAACCGGTATTTCGGCAATCTGCAAATCAATTGGGAGCTCTTCAATTATATTCAGACAAAACAATTTTGCTCTCTATGCTTAAATTTTGATTTTAGTATAGAAATGCATCGATTTAAATAGCCGTTAAACATTTTCGGTATATATTTGAAAAATACCTTACGAAAAATCCCAGCTTACGAAAAGTACCAAAATTTCTAGAGCCGTTAAACAGTTTCAGTATATATTTCGAATTTCCCTTTGAAAAGTACCAAAATTCCCAGAGCCTTTTAACAATTTCGATACAAATTTAGAATTTCCTTTCGAAAAGTACCAAAATTCTCAGAGCCTTTTAACAATTTCGGTATATATTTACAAATTTCCTAACGAAAAATGCCAGCTTACAAAAAGTACCAAAATGAGTAAGAGCTGCCTTTTTTTTTAGTTTGTGCTTCACTTTGCGAATGCCTTAATGGTCATTAATCAATCACATAAATAGAGATTCATGATTCATTCCTGCTCAATAATTAGCTAGACATTTTCGTAGCTGCAAAATTAAAGCGGCTGAATGTTCCCCAAATTGCGAACAAGCCGCAGAACACATTTGTGACGTCACGCGCGTGTGCTCAGCAGCGCATAACGGAACGAAATATTCCAGGCTACGAAATTTACCAAAAGTACATTTCTTTACGAAATGTACCAAATTTCCTAGAGCCGTTAAAAAATTTGTGGTATATATTTCGAATTTCCCTTCGAAAAGTATTAAAATTTCCTAGAGCCATTTAATCCCATGAAAAATCCCAGCTTACGAAAAGTAGGGTATGATTAAACGCACCTTAAACTTGAGCGGCTGCTCTATGCCAGGTCCCTCCACGGTGAACAGACCCTTGTGCAGGGGTATGGGCAAGGGATTCGGCAGACGCACAATCACATCCGTTTCCTGCTGTGCCACAATGCGACCGCCGGCGCCGCCATCGCCCAGCTGGAACTTGATGTCCGGTTTGCGCACACGGAAATCATCCTGGGCATAGTAATCATAGTCCGTGTCCTTGACATGGCAGGCGGCGGATATTTGGAAAGCAGCCTGTGACGAGAGCTTCTCGAAGTACTCGAAAAAGGTGACCTCCATGCGCACATATTCGCTGCTCTCCGGCTTCAGATCCAGTTCGAAGCCCATGATCTTCACCTCCTTGGCGCCGACGCCCGTATAGAGCACGGCATCGCAATTTAGCTGCCCGGCAGCCTGGTGTGTGCGCTCCTTGCTCTTGTTGCTCACCTTGAGCACCACGGTGAAATTCTCGCCCACCTTGATGTCATCCTTCAGCTCCATGCTGAACTCCACCTCGTTGAAGTTGTCGTTCAGATAGTAGCGACTGAAGGCGTGGCGGGATTGCTTTAGCGCCCGTAGCATATAGTTGCGCTCCTCCTCGCTGCGCTCCGCGTACTTGTAGCTGTCGGTGATGTCCTCGCGCTCCCACTTCAGCACGGCCTTGGTGCTGATCAGATGGCCAATGGCCAGGGTGTCCTTGCGCAGCAGCTTCAGCGGCTGGGCGGGTCCATTGTAGCGCCAATAAAGCTTGTCCGCGTTCACCTCGGAGTAGACGAAGCCGCAGTCGAAGGGACGCAGGATCTCGCCGTGCTTGACGGCCAGCACGGAGGCGGGACCCACCCGGTACATGTTGTCCGAGGCCTCTTGGGGCGTGGCGTCCACCGCCTGCCAGCCATCGTAGGCACCGAACTGGCCAATGCCCAGATCCGGACGCTGCATCCACAGCTCGTTCCACACGTGATAATTCCAAATGGAGTCCGTCGTCTCGGCGTCCAGTTTCTTGTTGTTGGCATCAATGAACACATCGACCGTGAGCGAGGCCTGCGTATCGTGCGCGGAAGAGTAGCAAGTGATGACACGGGCCGGAATGCCCAGAGCCCGGGCTATGGTCGCCAAGACGCCGCTAAAATTCCAGCACTGCGCAAACTTGACGGACTTTTGCGTCTTGTGGAACTGCTGCAATATCTCCGCGGAGCCCGTCCACTTGGTAGGCGCTGTGCCGCCCGAGAAATCCTCCGTCCAGTTGCCCAGCAGCACGCCATCATCATCCACGGAGTTGACCAGCGCGGACAGAGCACGAGCCACGCGCACCGGATCGCCACGATAGGCGGGCGGAATGCGTCCCACGGTGCCCAGGAGACGCAGGCTGCACTCCAGGACGTGGCGCTCGAACTGGCCGATCTTCCAGACCGACGGACGCAAGCGATTGTACGAGCCACGCCAGATTAGGGTTGTGTCATGCATGACATACTCCTTGCGCTGCTCCCGATCCGCCATATAGACCTGATCGTCGGCACACCAGGGATTAAAGAGTATGTAGACGGGCAGGGGCAGCTGGTAGCTGCGCGAGCCATCGCCCAGCAGCTTGGTATCAATATCCAGCCGCCATTCGGTTACGGAGCATGTGGCCGGCGGCTTCACTAGCACCGTGAGTATCTGACCCTCGTGCGACTCAATGCCGGCGCCCCATTCCAGCGGATCGCCCAGATAGTCGATGCCATCGTGCGGCACCAGAGCCGTAAGTGTGCCATGGCCCGGACTCGGTTTGCTGTCGTCGGCCACGCTGAAAATGAAGCTAATCGCATCCTTGCTGGGACTGTAATCCCGATTGAAGAAGATGCGCAGCCGAAACGGTTCGCCGCGTCGCACTATCAGCGCCTCCTTCGCGGCCGCCGCATAAAAGTGGCTCGTATGGTGCTCCACATGGTTGTCCGCCAGGCAGGGATCCACACGCTGCACGCCCAGCACCGCCGAGCTGGCGGCATCTGGAAGCAAGATCACACAGAAATGGGCATCAGTTGAGGTCGCAACAGAAGCGCAGCGTTCCAAGCCTTGCTTTAACCTGATCCTCAACTGGAACCATTTAACCAACTAACTTGTTCCTTTTTTAACTGTGAAAAATTTGATGAACCATGAACTGGAACTGGTGCGCCAAAGAAAAACCAAGCCTGTCGGCAGCCCTGAACTGAACCATCGACTTTTTTTTCTGCCCTTAACCTGTCTGTCCGTGCGTTCGCAAGGATCTCAGAGCCTGAAAGCTGCCGGAAGCTTTTCCGACCCCATCCCCATCCCCAAGTCCGTCTGTCTGTCGTTCCGTGCGTCCGTCCGTGCAAGGATCTTAGATCTCCGCGCTAGAGCTGGTGCCCGCGCCGTAAGAGTTTGATGCCGATATTCGATAACTTGGCCCGTTTCCAAGCAATCGATAGTCGATAGACGATATCGTGTTTTCTGAGCAAATCTCTTAGGTTTGCAAGAGCTGGAGTCATCTTGAATATGATAAGCTGGTAGAAGAGGGGGTTCCGGGTATTCCCTAGTCGGCAACATACGACTAGAGCCTCCCACTTGTTTGGATTTGCCGACATGTTACAATCCGATGATGATCTCATGAGGCAAAGTCAGAGACAAGCGATCTCTTGTCATGTTGCAGCCGCAACGAATTTGTTAAATAATCGCCTTTGGCCATAAACAAACACACACACACACACACACACAAAGTGGTCAAAAAGTTCAATGCCAGGGCAATTAATTCCCATCGAGTGGACAATCGGGCGTATGCGCGATTTGCTGTCAACGCCCACAAGAAACCATCAAAAGCATGGCCCATACCTAAAAAAAAAAAAAAAAAGTGGCCAAAAGTGTCAACATCTACGGGAATTAGCTGCAGCAACATAAACATCTGCTGATGGACACATTTGAATTGCCAGCAATCAACTTTTGATCAAGTTCTCTACAGAAAAGAAAAACAACAATCCTATTTTTAAAAATAGTTCCTATTATGCTAACTAGGAATAGATATATATATATATATATACGTGTACAGTGATTGCTCAGTAAAAACTGCTTAAATATATATTTATTTCCCTTTTAATTAAAACTTTTTCTTTTTTATTTTGAAAAAAAAGCAAAATAATATAAAAAATTCCAAAAAAAAAAAAAAAAAAATTTTTTATTTAAGGTAAAAAACTCGAAGTCGAACTTGAATCTGATGAAAATATAAATTTTAAAAAGTTTTCCTACCTAAAGTCTTCCCAATTTAATACATAAATAATTATTTATTATTATGCAAAGCTAATTTATAATAACAAAAAATTATCTATTTGTTAAAAAATGTTCCAATTATCGAATTATCGAAACTTGAAGTCGAACTTAGATCTGATGAAAATATAAATTTTAAAAAGTTTTTCTACCTAAATAAAGTCTTCCCAATTGAAGAAAAAATCATTTGTTATTATGCAAAACTTATTTAAAATAACAAATAATTATTTTTTTTTTAGCAAATTTTCTAATTATCGAATGACCACTGTACTAAGCATATATTAGCCTTTGTTCAGCTGTTGTCCCATGATTAGCACAAGATCTATTTGGCCACTTAAATGAATCAAATTTTTTAATAGACTCGCATAGTTTTTCTAGGCAATATGTTTCGAAATGGCAAAATATTCCTTTGAGTTACTTTGGGCATCAAATAAATATTAAATATTAGATAAATGTATATTTATAATTCGACATTTCCATATGGCTGCACTTTGTGACCTCGAATTTTCAGAATTTCAGATTCAATTGATGTTAACCTTTAGAGTGTTTCGGGTCTCAACGTAGGATGCCAAATCGAAATAAAGACAGCGATAAGATAAGAAACTTTGGAATAAACGATTTATTGAACATCATTTGAGCAGGA